ATTACCATATGATCAAGCAATTCCACTTCTGGTTATACACCCAAAAGAATTGAAAGCAGGGTCTCCAAAAAATATTTATACACCCATGTCCATGGCGACATTATTCACAATAACCAAAAGGTGGAAGCAGCCCAAGTGTCCATCAGTGGATGAATGGCTAAACAAAATATGTTATATACATACAGTGGATTATTGTTCAGCCTTAAAAATGATGGAAATACTGACACATGCTACAACATGGATGAACATTGAAGACATTATGCTAAGTGAAATAAACCAGTCACAAAAAGACAAATACTGTGAAATTCCACTTATATAATGTACCTAGAGTACTCAGATTCATAGAGACAGAGGGTTGAATGATGGTTGCCAGGGGCTGGAGGTGGGGGTGGTGGGGACCGGGGGAGAAATGGAGAGTCGTTTTGTTAGTTCAAAGTTTTGATTTTGCAAGATGAAAAGTTCTAAAGATCGGTTGCCCAACAATGTGAATATACTTAACAATACTGAACTGTACGCTTAAGAATGGTTAAGATCGTTACGTGTATTTCACCACAATTAAAATTTTAAAAATATTTGAAGCAACTATAATTAGTATTTTGAGAGGAACAGGAGATAATATGTCCATGAACAAGAATAGGATGCTATAAAAAAGAACAAGAAATTGCTCTTAGAAGTGAAAAATTATGAGAAGAGACATACCAAAAAAAATCCAAATAGAAAAGTTGGAAGATAAAGTTGAGGTAATGTCCCAGAAAACAGAACAAACATTTTTTAAAATGGAAAATTGGAAAGAACATTTTGAAAAATTAGAGAATCAATCCAAGAGGCCCAACATCCAACTAAACTAGAAAAAAACAAAACCAGAAATGAAATGGAGGGAATCAGCAAAAAGAAGTGTCCCCAGAATTGATTTTCAGATTAGGAGACTGACTTCCAGATTGAAAGGTTCACCAAGAGGTGCCCGTAGTGAATGCACATCGTTTGGAACTTCAGACCTCCGAGAGATCCTAAAAACGTTCAGAGAAAACTCAAGTCACACACGCACAGGATCGGTATCAGAATGTCACTTGACTTTTCAACAGCAACCATGGGTCAACTCCTCAAAATCCTGAGGGAAATTTATTTCCAATCTAGAACTCTACACCCAGGAGAACCAGCAATCAAAGCTACTGGAATACATGCTCTACCAAAACAAGGAAATAAACTCTGTTTGGGAGCGGGGGTAGGGGGGAAGGCAGAAAGCAAGGGAACCAGAAAACAGGATCCAACACAGGAAAGAATCAAAGGAAATTTCCAGGGTGGTAGTAAAACAAGGTCCCAGGACAATGGCTCTACAGGTCTGTAGGGTAAGCAGTCCAGGTTGGAGCCCAGGGAGGACGCGTCAGGAGGGGTGTCTCTAAGGACCACCTGGTGTGTTCAACCAGGTAGAGGGACATTTTACAGTACCGCTGGACAGTTGGGGGATGAATTAGTGATGGGTACCTAAGGAAGTTTTTTTTGTTTCGTTTTGTTTTTGTTTTTTAATAAGGTGATTAAATACCTCTAGAAAAGAAAAATGTTGTCCAGTAAGGAAAAATGAAATCATAACACACTTCAAGGCTCAGCAATGAACAATAGTTACATAGACATAATACTTGAACACTGAATACTGATGCCACAGTAACAAAATGATATAACTAAACTGAGAGGAAGGAAGAGAAAATAATGTGTGGGATGCGGGTAGATGAAAGGGCATTAAATCTTCACCTTGCATAGAAGAGAGGCAATAGATAAAGTTACAAAAAGTGGAAAATCTGAATTAGGTGTGTTATTTAAAAATAAGGAGGGGGTTTCCCTGGTGGCGCAGTGGTTGAGAGTCCGCCTGCCGATGCAGGGGACACGGGTTCATGCCCCGGTCTGGAAAGATCCCACATGCCGCAGAGCAGCTGGGCCCGTGAGCCATGGCCACTGAGCCTGTGCGTCTGGAGCCTGTGCTCCGCAACGGGAGAGGCCACAACAGTGAGAGGCCCGCGTACAGAAAAAAAAATAAATAAATAAGGAGGCATATGACAGAAGTTCCATCTAAAATGCATGAAAGAGGGGTTGTCTTTAGAAGTGAGACTTGAGACTGGGGAAAGGATGGGGTAGGGGACTGATTTTTTAATTACACGTTTACTATAAGGCAGTTATATGACTTTTTCAACTAATGCCAGTATAAATATGCTAGAGCTAAAAATTAAATTGAAAAAAGAAAAAAAAGTGCAACTACATGCCAGTCTGTGAAGCAGTGATGATACTGCTCTGGTACAAAGCCGGGAGCTCCTACCATGGACGGGAGAGAAGGGAAGGAAGACTTAAGGGAGGGGACAGCCTTGAGCTCTGCCTGGATGAATGGGACCAGGCCGGCCTCTCCAGTCTTCTGAATAGAAAGGACAGTGGGAGCTCTAGGGCAGCTGAACCCTTCCAAGGAACAAGTTTAGAGGAAGAGGAGCCGAAGGCAGGACACCAGGCCCGAGGGTGTCAGGAGGAGCCCCTGAAGGGAGGAGTGGCCCAGAGCCGGTGCCAGAGGGAGGAAATCCCTGCAACGGAGGCCAAGGTGAGTTGTCCACAAGGTAACAAAATGGCTAACGATGTCAAATGCTGCTTTGTGGTCCAGAGGACTTAACATAAACACACCCTTGCAGGACTTCCCTGGTGGTCCGGTGGTTAAGACTCTGCACTTCCACTGCAGGGGCACAGATACCCCTTAGTCAGGGGACTAAGATCCCATATGCTGCATGGCCAAAAATAAAAATTAAAAACAAACAAACAAACAAAACATACCCTTGCACACTGTGATCTCAACGCAGTCCCGGGTAACCCTCCCCACACCCACCCCCCCGCCAGGATATTCCAAAAGCAGTGGGAACAGAACAGAAGCAGGACTAGGTGAGCGAGCCTACACTAGGCTCCCAAGTGCAGCGCCCCACCCCTTCCTGTTCTCTGAGAGGCAGGAGGCTTAGTTACGGGGTCGAATGCAGGCAATGCTTGGGACACGCTTATACTAAAGAAATGGTCATTTAGCTGAAATTCAAACTTAACTGGGCTTCCCGTGTCATGATACATTAACTCTAGCAACCCCAGGAGGCTACGCCTTCCCAAAAGCTTGGAGATATCTCAGGCTTGCAAGCGGAAACTTTGCTACTGGCTGCTCCCACCGGCCTCCTGATCCTTGTGGGGAGGAGGACCCCGAGGCAGTGAGGTCCAGTGGGTGGATCCTTGTGCCTCTCAGAGCCTGTCCTCTTATGGAGAAATAAGGCCATGGCTATGGCGTGGGGACAGTAGGAGACCTCCATGTCCTTCTGGAGTGATTTTTTTTTACCACAAGCATGTATTACTTTTATAATCAGCAACAAGCCATAAAGACATTTCCACCTTAAAAATAAAATAAAATGAGGCTGCAGTGGACCAGGTCATCTCTGAGGCCCCCACTGAAGCCAAGATTCTGCAGTTCCAAGTCATTTCCTAGTCTTTATTTGCATGTCATTTTAGGAGCGTTCAGTGAGGCAGCCTTGTGAGGGGGAGGGTTGCTTTTATCCCCCCACGCCCCCACCAGGGATTCTGAGCCCAACCGGCTGGCCTGGGGCGAATGTGGCCAGGCTGTCCCCACTCTGGGAGGTCACCTGGCTTGGCCTGGCCTAGCCCAAGCCTCTGGGATCATTCCTGACCTGGAAGCCTCCCCGAATGACCTGTTCTGAAGCCACCGAAAGGGCTTGGGTGTCGGCTCTGTAGGAGACTCCTGGGCCCCAACCAGAGCCGTCCTGAGATTCTAGGGAGCTTGTGATTTAACAGATCCTGAAAGGGGCAGATGTGTCCCCATACCCAGGGACAAGTATCTCTTTGCCAGTACACTAGGACCCCTCCCTAGTAAGAGGCCCCACTGGAAGGTCTCAGGGGAGGGTGGAAAACGCCCCATCCATATGCAGCACACGGTGGACTCACAGAAGAGTGAGGGTCCTGTCGTGGGTCACCGGAGCCTGAGTGGAGCCCCAGTTCCACCTCCTGTCAGCTTTGTGACCTTGGGCAAGTTGCTTAACTGAGAGCCTGGGTAGTCCTGCGATAATGACATAATGAATGCAAACCCCCGGAGGTGGCGGCCGGGAGGAGAGGTGATCACAAACAGTAGTGGTATCTATTTAATCCCGGGAGAGTCAGAGGCTGCCGTTTGGCCAAAGGAGCTTTTGATCTGCAATTCCTACAGACCCAGGACCACTCTGGAAGGTTCCCCACCCTCCGAGAGTACCCTCCCGGCTTTAGTCCAGGCGAGAGCCACTACCGGCTGCTGGAGCTGTGACTGGTCTCCCAGCTCAGGCGCAGGAGCCTGGCCCACGACCTTGGAAGAACCTGGGAGAACGCTTCACCAAGCGACGGTACTTTTCCATTGCACTGCTCGGCCGCCTCATCTGGCTTTCTGCTGCGCAGACAAGAGACCAAGTGAGCCAGGCCGGCCCATCAGGAACCCACCCGAACTCACCCTCAGAGATGCGGGTAGGGATGTGAGGGGCAATGGGAATCCTAGAAAGAGGAGGGGGATACCGAACGCTCCAGAAGGAGCTTAGAGACCACCAGTGAGACCTGAGAAACTTGCGTTGTCAAAGCCCTCCGGTGGATTTCAGGAGATTCCTACCTCCACCCCTTCCCCTCCGACGATAATGATTAAACCCGATCCACCGCGCCTGTGCTGGGTCTCGGGCGAAGAGCACTGCTTGCCTGCGCGGGGGAGGAGAGAGAGGAGGGCGAGAGGAGGGGACAAGAGAGCTAGCGGTCCCGCCCGGTGATGTAGGCAGCCCGGGGAGGTGGAGCCGCGACGCGTGAAGGAGTCCCCACCGCAGTCGCGCTCTCTCGGTCTACCCCTCCGAGCAGCCAGCCGCCAGCCCCGGCTCCGGCGACCTCCCTGCCGCCGCAATTTGGGCGGCGGGGGCCGTGGGATTCCCCCTATTCGTGCCTGAGGGGCGTCTCCTCCCCGCCCAGCCCCTGCCCCTCCTTGCTTCCCGGACGGCTGGAGCGACTCCCGGGGGACGCTGTTCCCGGACGCTCGGCCGCCGCCCGGGCATCTCGGCTGCCAGCCCGGCTGGGCACCGGGCATCTGCGAAGCTAGCTAGCCCTGCCTGGCACTGGGCATCTCTGGGCACCGACTGTCTCCGGCGCCGCCCAGCTTCTCGAAAGCCCGGGGCCGCGGGCTTCTGCGCGCCCTCCCTTCCCCCCGGCCGCCGGGCAGGACGCCCGTGAGCTCGCGGCGTCCCCAGCCCCTCTGGCCGCCGCCGCGATGCTGCCCTGGAGACGTCACAAATTCGTGCTAGTGGAGGACGAGGCCAAGTGCAAGGCGAAGAGCCTGAGCCCGGGGCTCGCCTACACGTCGCTGCTCTCCAGCTTCCTGCGCTCCTGCCCGGACCTGCTGCCCGACTGGCCGCTGGAGCGCCTGGGTCGCGTGTTCCGCAGCCGGCGCCAGAAAGTGGAGCTCAACAAGGAGGACCCGACCTACACCGTGTGGTACCTGGGCAACGCCGTCACCCTGCACGCCAAGGGCGACGGCTGCACCGACGACGCCGTGGGCAAGATCTGGGCGCGCTGCGGGCCGGGCGGGGGCACCAAGATGAAGCTGACGCTAGGGCCGCACGGCATCCGCATGCAGCCGTGCGAGCGCAGCGGCTCTGGGGACTCGGGGGGCCGCAGACCGGCGCACGCCTACCTGCTGCCGCGCATCACCTACTGCACGGCGGACGGGCGCCACCCGCGCGTCTTCGCCTGGGTCTACCGCCACCAGGCGCGCCACAAGGCCGTGGTGCTGCGCTGCCACGCCGTGCTGCTGGCGCGGGCGCACAAGGCGCGCGCCCTGGCCCGCCTGCTCCGCCAGACCGCGCTGGCGGCTTTCAGCGACTTCAAGCGCCTGCAGCGCCAGAGCGACGCGCGCCACGTGCGCCAGCAGCACCTCCTCGCTGGGGGTGCCGCCGCCTCGGTGCCCCGCGCCCCGCTGCGCCGGCTGCTCAACGCCAAGTGCGCCTACCGGCCGCCGGCCGCCGAGCGCGGCCGCGGGGCGCCGCGCCTCAGCAGCATCCAGGAGGAGGACGAGGACCAGGACGAGGAGGTGGAGGAGCTCGAGGAAGGAGCCCCCCAGAGCGAGCGGCCGGAGGTGCTCAGCCTGGCCCGGGAGCTGAGGACGTGCAGCCTGCGGGGCGCCCCGGCGCCTCCGCCGCCCTCGCAGCCTCGCCGCTGGAAGGCCGGCCACCGGGAGCGGGCGGGCCAGGCGCGCTGAGAGCCGAAGGGACAGGACTTGCGGCCCCAGACCCGGCCGGCCTGATTTACAGCCTCTAACCCCGGCCCTGCCCGCTACGGCTCCCCCTGGCACCCCGGCCCTTGCCTCCCTCGTGGTCTCTGTTGTCGGCGCGAGCCTCATCCTGGCTCACGGTGACGCCTGACACGCCCTTGTATTGGGGAACCAGATGGGGGAGCAGCAGAATTCAGTGCTCACCTCTCTCCCCACCTGAGTCTCCCGGAGCCCTCCACTGTGGATTTGCCCCCTATGCTTCCCACCAAGTCTCTCTACCCATAGACCACGCCCTCCCTCCCCAAACATCCTCTCAAGAGAAGAGGGGGAGACGTTTCCAGAAATCCAGGAGGGTGGCCTTGGATCTTGGCCAGGTGGAGGCAGTGACCAAGCTAGCCTTCCTCCCTGGGATGAGACCAACCCTGGGGAGGCATTCTTGTAGGGGGAAGAGTAAGTAGCCCTGGAGAACTGAGGCCAGGTCCAAAGTGGCAACTGAGTCTGCTGCCATACACACAAGGAAGACTTCTCTATACCTGGCCTCTCTACCCCTTGGAGGACTTCTGGGACTTCACTGCTCTGGCTCTGGAGAAGACTGGGATGTTCCCACCAACCCCAACCACAGGCTAGGCCAGGTAACAGCTCTCTGCACCAGACGGCTGTCCAAGCCTGTGCCCTGGCACCTGCCACCCCCCACAGGACTCCTCACCCCCCATCTTTCTGCATACCGAAGTGTGTGGTTCCCCCCTAGGTGCCCCACAACCAGGACCAAGACGAGACCTCCAGAGGAGGGAAGGAGGACCTCTGGCAGTGCTTGAGCGCACTGACTACCCAGAAAATGGACACAGGAGGGATGCCCCCAAGTTGAGGCTTGTCAGAGCACGAGGGTCCTGACAGCAGCTGGATTCTCATAGCAGGATGAGGCAGGAGGATGCGGTAACCCAACAGAGAGAGCGGGCCCCTGCGCACGTGTCTCTCAGCAAGGCCACTAAAAGCCCAAAGATCTATGTGTCACCAAATGATCACTGTAAATAAAGTGTTCCTGCTTTTTCAGCCTGTCACCACTCCTGTGTTGTGTTTGATGCCAGGCCTGCTGGGGGTGAAAAGATTATCATCAGAACCTTAAAGGGCAGGAGAAGACCCCAGGAAGTATCCCCTTTAGCAGCTGGAGCCAACTCTCAGGATAGGGGGGGACGAAGGGGCTGCTGCCAGGAAGCTGTTCCCTTCATGTCGGGAAAGGAGACAGTAGCAGGTGCCTCGCCTGCACGGCACCTGTGCCAAGCCTGGAAGGGGTGTCAGCTGTCTTTCTCAGCATCCCGGAATGTCTCTCTGCCTGGGCACCAAACACAAGTGTCTCTGGGACATTTGGCAGGGAGGGGGCACTGGGCTGGGGCCTTCTCATCAGCCATGTATCTTTGAGAAGATTCATGTGTATGTAATGTCAAAGCAGGTGGTATTTGCTGGGTCTCCTCAAGGATGTAAGGGAGAGGGGTGGGCAACCCAATTTGCTTTCAGAGGAGCTGGAGAGATCTGTCCAGACCATTATAACAGCAGGAGTCCTGAGCTTGGATATCTTCTTTATTTCTGTGCTGAGCTGGGCACTGATCCCAGAGTTGTCCAGAGCCCAGACGAGTGGCCTCTGCAATCGCCAGCAATCAGGATTGTTCTGTTTCCTGGAGCTGCTGGAACAGAGGGTACCACTGCCGCTTCGCCCTGGAGGAACCCAGGCAGGATCGGGGGGGGACTCTGAAGGGGAAATCTGGGCTTGACTTCACTAGTTTTGGGGGTGACAGGGATGCCCTGCATGTTCATTGCTTCCCTCTTATGCATTGCCAGGGGATTTGTTGGTGTTTCTCCCCATATACAGAAGGAGAGAAGGAAGTGGGAAGATGTCAGCCCCGGGAGAGGAGGATGGGCTGCAAGGCAGCCTCTGGGGTTAGAGACAACCTCACCCAGAAACAAGGTCACAAGCCCACCCTCTTTAATCAGATGCTTGCAGCAGAAATTTACTAAATGCCTGCCTTGGGACAGGCACTAAGCTAGGTCCTAGCGGTCCAGGAGTCCCTTCCCTGTGGCTCTTATATTCTCAAGTGAAATGCGTATAATTAAAGGAACACTTGCAATATAATAATTCACAAGCACGCTCCCAGCCTTAGCCTCTGCTCCTCCACTCTTCTCTGGCAGCCTCGCAAAGCATAGACACACACACATACACACACACACACACACACACACACACACACACAGAACTGCCTCCTTCCTTTCCTTGCTCACAGTATGCTCGCTAGACCTGGAGTTAGAAGACCAGAGTGAAGGGACTGTCCCTGCCTCCTTACCAGCTGTATGATGTTGGGCAACTCACTCAGCCTCTCTGAGCCTCACCTTTCTCACTGGTAAAATGGGAGGGGGCTAATATCTACCTGACAGGCTGATTATAAGAATTAAATAGAATCATGTCTGTGAAAAAGCTTTGGCAGATAATAAAATGCCCAGCACATGTGAAGAACCATTTTACCCATAGGATTCTTCTCTTTACATTAGGATTTTTAGTATGCCTTCCCCCCACGTCCACTCCACTCTCCCTGGCAACGGTGATTATAAGTTGTTTTCTCTCTCTCTCTCTCTCTCTCTCTCTCTCTCTCTCTCTCTCTCTCTCGGCCATGCTGTGCAGCTTGCAGGATCTCAGCTCCCTGACCAGGGCCATGGCAGTGAAAGCCCGGAATCCTAACCACTAATCCTAACTCCCACATCTCTATTCTCAGTGTGTGTGATGGAGGAAGGAGCTGGTCCACCTTCCCTCCCACAGTGGGTTGAGGATGAGATAAACCACAGGGGAGCCAGCACAGTGCCAAGTGCCACCAGGCTACAGACTGGGTGTTGAGGGCAGCCCCAGCCAGCAGGCCCCAAGCATCGTTGCTACCAAAGGAGGAAGATGCATCCTGGAAAACCAGACCCCCTCCACCTATGCACTGACTGCCTTTCTCCCCCGATCTTCGACACAAGCTCAAGAAGATCCCTGAGGCATCGGGCAAGCCATCTGGCGTCCCTGTGCCTCTTTTCCAGCACCAGATTCCCCACCTGTAAAATAAAAATGAGCGAGTTCTCCCAGTCCTAGGTTTCCCAGGGGTGCCCCAGGAGCTGCTGTGGGGAGTGATGGGGAGACAGAATGGGGAGGCCACCCCCCACCTGCTTGAACTGGAGCATCTTCTCTGTTTTCCCTTTGGGGTTTATGGGATTCCAGTTGAATAATGGGACCCTACAGATTTTTCTTTTTCGAGTTTTAAACACTGGGTGAGATGCCCTTTAAACTTTCCTTCCAGCCCCCATGCTGTGTGTGTCTTAGGTCCACTGGGTCAACTAGGCCTGAGAAGTAACGCTGGAGTATGAATGTGTCAATGGAGGGCTTTCCGAGAGCAACAGACAGCCGGGGACAGCTCAGACAGTGTGTCTCAGCTGGGCCAGCCTCTTCCCGGGACCTCTGGGGCCTTATTTCCTGCTCTCCTGATCCCACTCTGGAGGCGCTGGCTTGCGACTGCAGTGACTGCGCCACGGCTCACAGCTTAGAGGATAAAGCTGGCCCGCCGATGCCGTCCTGATTCCTGGTGCACTTGTTCTGCACGTGGACATGCTCCCAGGCCCCAGGCATGGCCAGGTGCTCCCACCTCCAGGCCCTGCCCCTGCTCTTCTCACTACCGCAGGTGTCCTTTCCTTCCGCTGCACGTGTCCAATCCTACCCTCTCTTCAAGGCCCAGCACAAATCCCACCTCCTCAGAGCTTTCCTTAATGCACACCCCTCCCCAGCTCCTGCCAAATCTGGGGGTGATCTCTTCTCTCAAACACACAGGACGTGGCCTATCCTTTTCTCGTGGTCCTCCTCAGGTTACCCCTGGGATTCCTGTTTATATGGAAGTGTCTTGTCTCTCATACTGATCCTTCTTCGTTTCCCCGCCGCCTTCAGTACCCTGACCATGGCAGGGCAGACCCTGAGGCTCAATATTAACTTGTTGAATGAACACATGAATGAACGAGCCAGATGGAAGAGCCATCATGGGATAGGAAACCAAGGGGGTGGAGAAGTGTTCCTTCTGCCAGGCTTCTGCCTGGAGATGCGGAAGGAGAGCTATCCTCAGACGCCCTGCTCAGATGGATGGCTATTCTCGGGGAGCAAAACGGCAGCTCAAGAGATGAGGCCAGTGGAAGAAACTGAAGCCTCCGTCCCCGGGGTCTGCTCTGAGCTCCAAATCCCCAGGACTGGGCCTTCTCACTCTCTGGTCTAGCCCAGCCCCAGAAAAGGGCTGCCACTCACAGTACAGAGCAGCTCCTGGTGGAGACCAACCACCTCCAGGTGCGCTGTCTGGGCAGCGGGAGGACCATCCAGGCAGATGCCATCTCTAATTTAACGCACAGGCGATCAGACCTGGGCTTGAGCAGCAGATAGACCCGACTGCCCTTCCCAGAGCTGCCACCTGATGGCTTTATAACTTGGAGCAGGTTTCTGAAGGCTTTCAGAGCCTTGATTTTCCATCTGTGAAAACAGGGGTGGGTGAGCCTAGATTTTACATGGTTGTTGGGAGAATGAAAGCTTTGCACTTGGATAATTTATTTAACGCAGCGCCCGACGCACATAATAGTTGTAGCTGCTGCTATTACGTTGATTATTATCATTTTACCTGGAGCTCCCCTTACTGACAGCTCTGGGATGAGGAGATCAGGTGCCTGGTCCCTGAGACACCTGGTGCTTCTTCATGCCGTGGGGTGGCATCATCTCTAAACCACGGTAGAAGATTCAGCTTCAGCTTGTCTTATTTTCATCTCCAGTTGTTCAACCGACATAAGCCTGATCGCCTTAACACTAGATTAGATCTAATATCTTAAGCTTTTGTGTCTCCTTTTCGCCTTAGCACCCAGCGCAATGCCAGGCAAACAGCAAGCACTTCAGAGGTAAATGAATGAATGAATGAATGAATGTTTAGCTGCTGCCGGCAGCAATGTTGACACATAGTCTTCCCAGCTAAGGTCTTCAGAAAGCTGAGGTGCCAGTCCTTTGTGAGTGATGGGTCAGCCTCCCTCCAGTCCCTGTCTGCCCTTAGCTACAGGCTCTGGAGAAGAGGAAGGGGCTGCTGGCTTAAGGACCAGCAAAGGACAGCCGAAAAGGATCGTGGGGTTGACACGCAGATCTGTGGAGTCTCTGAGCCAAAGCTGTCCTCTCTCTCCCTTTGCTCGACTGCCTCCTGTCCATAAAGCACATATGGGTTTGTCAGCTGATCCAGAATAACTGAGCCTCCTCACCCCTCAACTTGAGAGGGAAAGAGGATGGGCAGGTGAGGCATTAAGGAGGAAAGGTGGAGTTCAAGCCACCATAAAGGAGACCTCAGCCGGGAAGATTGGGCCAGTACTGTGGCATGCTGGGAAGCCTTGACAAAGGCTAAAGGACTTGGAAAGCTCAGGTGGATCTTGTTTTTGTCTGCCCAGCATTCATCCATCTCCCCTTTATGGTAGAGACTGCCTCCCCGTTCTCCCCTGCACTGAGACGTGGTCATGTGACTGAGTTCTGGTCAATACAGTTGATGAGTGTCACTCCCAGGGCCTGGACCAAACAAAATGTAACCTTTGCTTTATTCTCCTGCTGGCCGGCTGGATGTCATCACCCAGGGTGTCCTTGGAAGCTATATGATGAAGATGACAGAGCCTCCACCAGCCTGGGCCCCTGAATGGATATGGGAAGTAGAGCCCCAGCCCTGCTAACAATGGGAGCAAGAAATGAAATTGTACTGTGTCAGCCACTGACATGTTGGGGGTTTTTTTGCAGCACGTAGCTTACCTTGACTAACGCACTCTTCTTGAGACCCACTGCCCTGATGCTCCTGGTGAAACCATCATTCTCTGCCCTTGGTCCCTGGGCTTTGGGCAGAGCTGACTTCACACACGTGGGCTCCAGAGGAGAACGTGTGATCCAGGCCTGACCAATCAGAATATCCTGTATCCTTAGCCCCAGAGATTGGTTCTGGAACGGGCATG